ACTTTCCACCATTGCCAATAGACCAGCCAACCCGGTCTTCCCCTTCCCCTAGGCGCACTGTGTCGATGGCATGGATCAGACCCATCCAACTTTCTATTTCCCAGTCAAAGAGGCCTCTTCTGAAGCCAAGATCCCAATCGTTCTCAGAATTATTCTAGCAATCGGCAATAGAAGCCCCCTTTTTTGTGGAGATATTAAACAAGTTGGGAAAGGAGCTTTGGAGGGTGTTTTGTCCTATCCACTTGTCTGTCCAGAACTTGATACGATTCCCTTTTCTCGCTTTGAACTCCAAGAACTGATTGTGAGGCAACTCAAGGGATATCAAGGACATGGAGGTAGTAATATTAACTGATTGTGGGGCAACTCACAACTTCATATCATAGCGACTCGTGTAAGAGCTAGACCTACCCCGAGCACAGACATCCAACTATGGAGTAATCATGGGCACTGGCGTAGCAGTAAAGGAGAAAGGAATCTGTATGAGGGGTGGAACTTTGTTTACTTGAAATTATCCTAATGGAAAACTTTTTACCTCTTGAATTGGGGACCCTCTACGTGGTGTTAGGGATGCAATGTTTGCAAGTCATGGGAAAGATGGAGGTGGATTGGCCACTGTTGACCATGTCGACCATGTCACTCATCAGGGGAGAGAAGGGAATCGTCTTAAGGGGGGCCATCACTAACCAAATTGGAGGTATCACTCAATCATCTCTCTTGCACCTGAGAGGATAAAGACCAAAGGTACCTAGTTGAACTAAGGGCCTCCTCACAACTCAACCTGATTAAATGGAAGCAAGGGATTCTACTCTGCCCAACCCGTTACCACGAGCCATTAATAACCTCATCACAAAGTACGCTTCAGTAGCCCCACCACCCTTCCCTCAACTCATTGCCCAGACCAACAATGCAATTTAAAGAGGGACAAGAACTTGCCAATGTGCAACCTTATCGGTATCCTTGTGTCCAAAAACAGAGATTGAACATCTGATCAGCAAAATGTTGGCCGCATGGATCTTTCACCCTAGTGTGAACCGTATTCGAGTCCAGTCATTTTAGTTAAGAAGAAGGATGGCAGGTAGATGTTCAATGTGGATTATTGCACCCTAAACAATGTGACCATGCTAGACAAATTTTCCATACCAGTGATAGAGGAATTGCTAGACGAACTAAATGGATCCCAAGTCTATTCCAAGATAGACCTCAAATTTGGCTACAATCATATCTGCATGGCGAGAGAAGACGTACCTAAGATAGCATTCCGCACACACAAGGGACATTATGAGTTCCTAGTGATGCCCTTTGGATTGACAAACGCCGTTACCACATTCCAAGCTCTGATGAATTAGATCTTTCAACCATTCTTGCATAAGTTCATCCTAGTTTTCTTTGATGACGTCTTAATTTACAATCCATATCTTGATTCCCATATGCACTGTGCACTAATCTGAAGAAATGTCAAGATTGAATATTTAGGGCACTGAGTTTCAACTTAAGGGGTGGAGGCGGACCCTAAGAAAGTTCAAGCAATGTCACAGTGACCTTAACCAACGAATATAAAGGAACTCTGCAGATTTCTTGGACTGGAAGCCTACTATCGAAGGTTTGTGGCATGGTATGGCAACATGGCGCTCCCTTAACACAACTCCTAAAGAAGGACTCGTTCGAGAACAAGCAACATTGGCGTTTGAGAAACTCAAGAACACGATGGTAACTCTACCAATCTTGGCTCTACCGAACTTTGCTTTACCTTTTATCAATGGAAATGAAGCCAATAATGGATCTGGGAGTAGTCTTCACTTAGAACCAATAACCAATAGAGTTCTTTAGCCACACACTTTTAGTACAAGCTCAAGCGAAACCAATCTATAAGAGCGAATTGATGGTCGTAGTCCTAGCCATCCAATGATGTAGACTTTACCTAATGGGTTAAAAATTCATTGTATGAACTGATCAATGGGCTCTAAAGTACTTATTGAGTAGAGCTCAACCTGAGTATTAGTGATGGATTTACAAACTACTAGGATACGACTTTGGGATAGAATATCGATCGGGTTTGGAAAATAAAGTTGTGGACGCTCTATCTCGACTTCCTCCCACAGCACAACTTGCCTCCATGACAGCACCGAAAATCTTAGATTTGGAAGTTATTCGTACTGAGGTAACAGTAGACCCCCATTTCGCTAAAGTGATAGCAGACTTACACAATGGTCCTAATAGCATACCCCAAATCAGCCTCCATCAAGGTATGTTGAAGTACAAGAATCGTTTGGTGCTGTCAAAATCTTCATCACTTATCCCAACGATACTTCATACCTACCATGATTTGGTGATGGGAGGGCACTCAGGTTTCCTAAATTCATATAAGAGACTCATAAGGGAATTATATTACCCCAGGGATGAATACAGACACGAAAAGTTGTATTGAGAAGTGCACAACGTGCGAGAGGAATAAGACGATGGCAGCATCGCCCGTAGGGTTATTACAACCTTTACAAGCTCCGGATCAATATGGGACCATAACTATGGGTTTTGTGGAAAGCTTACAAAAATCCTTGGGGAACGACACATGCTTTGTAGTGGTTAATCGACCGAGTAAGTATGCACATTTCATTCCAGTGTGTCATCCTTTTTCCACCAAAACCATTGAAGAAATCTTCATACTAGGGATAATAAGGTTACATGGTTTTCCTTTCACAATTATCTCAGAACGTGACAAGGTTCTCCTCAGCCACTTCTGGACAGAACTATTCCGATTGTAGGGAACTCAACTTCGTCGAAGTACGAATTACCATCCTTAGACAAACGAACAATTGGAGATAGTAAACAAGTGTCTAGAGACGTACCTTCGTTGCTTTTGTAGCGAAAACCTAAACAATTAGGGGGGCAATGGTAATCATGGGTGGAGTACTAGTATAACCAAACTAACCATATATCAATTAGTACCACCCTGTTTCATGTGGTTTATGGCAGACTCCCACCACCGCTGGTATCGTATGGAAGCCAAAAGACAGCCAATGCAAGTCTCGACCAGTAACTCATTATGCATGATACAATGTTGGATAGCCTTGAGGAGCATTTAAACCAAGCACATAATAGGATGAAGAAACAAGTTGATCGCCAGAGAAGTAGAGTTTGACATCGAAGATAGGGTCTTTTTGGAACTACGACTGTACCACCAGAACTCGCTGGTCAAACGACAGAAAGAGAAGCTCACCCCTAAGTACTTCAGCCCCTACACCATTGAGCAGCAAATTGGAAAGGTAGGATACAAGTTAGACCTCCCTCTGGATACTACAATTCACCTTGTCTTCCATGTATCGCAGTTGAAGAAAATCGTGGGTGATGCTAGGTAATACAACACATCACTCCTCTATTGACGGAGGAACTGGAATGGACCATGGAACCTAATAAAATTTTTGGCACCCACCAGAACATGAGCATAGGGGAACGGGAGGCACTTTTGAGCTAGAAGAATTTGGCAGAGGAAGAAGTAATTTGGGTGTCCACGGAGGAGATCCGTCAGCAGTTCCCTAATTTCCACCTTGAGGACAAGGTATCGTTGACCCTGGGGATTGATGTGAGGCCTCCCATTATTAATAATTATACGATGAGGGGCAAAGGTGGAAATACCACAAAGAGTTAGTGATAGTGGGGTGGGTACGGTCCTTTTGAGTAGGGGTGACGACGTAGGAGGGAATATATGGTCAGGCTAGTTTATGGGGAAGGGGTACGTACGTCTTATTCTGTGCCAAGCTTCAGGGTAGGGTTGTAGGAGAGTTTCCATCCTCTCAAATTGATGGACGTCTTTTGTAATGCCTAATGGCTGTTTGCAACTTTTCTGAATATCAAAAGTGTAAGGAGATGCCTTACACTATGTTCCACAAATGGCATGTATATATGGACAACCACCACCAATCTCTACTGAAGTTTGTAAATCTCTAAAATTTAACTCCAAAACTTATCCACAGAAATTTCTCAATTTTTACATACACTATCTTAATGCTTGTTCTGTTTAGGTGTAAAAATACAGATCCAAATGCAATTCAATAATAATCATACCTAGATGAGATCTTCTCTCAGGAGGTCTAAACACCGGTCTGTCCTTTCCAGGAACTGACAATCCCCCTTCATTATTGTTCTCTGGTTCCAACAATAGTGTTGTCTTGTCTATGTCAATAACTCCACCATCACTCCCTTGCGTCTAACAAGTAAAAAAACAGGAACAACCCATGGTTACTAAATGCAAGAAAAAAAGGGGGGAAGGTAGAAAATCAACATATCATATATAAAATATAATAGAACAACTGTGTTGGCAAACAACAACATAAACACTTCATATATAATTGAATTACATGCTAACCTTCATTAGACAGCAAAGTTTTCAAACTTCAGTTCACTAGGCTCCCCTCTTTGCAAACACCAAAAAGTTCTCGTGTAAGCAAGGATTGAATCTGAAAGAGAAAATAAGAAAAAACAATAAACTTGCATTGAACCACCACTAAAAGATAAACAAACTCACGAAGAGCCCAAAGAGACAGAAAACAAGATAATCTCTCCTCCCTAGATTACTCGCCATCCGTTTCCGTTTCCGTTTCCAAGCTGTCTATAACTTCTACCCCATAATTTGGGAGGATATTTGAAATCATTCTCAGCGTTTGGTTGCTCATAAACACAATCCGATTTGGAATCATGTTTTGGCTGAAAAATTTGTACTTGTTATATTATTATTAGAGAAGAAAAGAAAAACCTGGCGATCGAACTTCGCCACAGAGAGGGGCGGCCGGAGTCGCTACGTGAACTGCACGACAGAGCGTCGGCGCGGCTGGACCTCACGGCTGAGCGGCGGGGCGGCGGGACTGATGCCGCCGGACTGATCTTTTCCCGAAAAGAAAGGAACCGAGTAAATCGCGTGCGGCTACGGAAACAAGGAAGACATGGCCGGAAAAGAGAGTTTGGAGTTCGTTGTTTTTTAATATATAATAAATATATGGAAAAGGATAAATTATGTTATTCTTTATGTTTTTTTATTTTGATATTTGTTTTTTCTTTTTCTTTTTCACAATAAAGATTGTATTTTTAGATTTAATTTATTAAGACCGTTTATTTCGATTAAATGATTTGTTTTCAGGAATATATGCAATTGAACTTGATGTTTTTTCTTATATAAAAATTATATTTTAGCAAAATTATAAGGTTGTAATAATAAAATTTTGATATGCTCCAAGTTTAAGATTGTTTTTTAACTTACCCAACAAATAAATTTGCTACTTTACAAATAAATTTGCTACTTTAAGATTGTTATAGTCACAACCGTAGTAGCATTGAGGAAGATGGCCACCACGTCAGACTCCTCGACCCATTTACGTATGGTTTTCAAATTGTAAGTATGAAAAATGGTCTCAATACAAACCCTATTGTTCGAGGGGTATTGCCTAATCTTAAAGGTTGGACTATAAATCTACAGATTTAAGTTTATAAAAAAAACATATTACTTGTTATGCTATAACTGAAGTAATAAACAAAAGAAAATTTAAAAGTTAACCAGTAATAAATTTGTATCAATATGGAAGAGAGACCTTTTTAGATTTTAATTCCTTTTTTTTAATATCCAGAATGTCGTATACATGCATTTAGTCGCCAGGGTAATTCATAAGATGTTAAATCTGGACATCATGATTTGAACTCATTCCTTTTAGACTCTTTTACATTTACTTTGACCCTATTCAACTCTAATTTCTAGTCACCTTTTGATCCTCCTAAGTTATTGTACAAACTATATAGTAGAGAAGATCCTGAAAAAAAGGCTTAGAAAATTAAATGCTCTAAGGGCATTTTTGTGACTGATTTTGGCATTATCAAGATTTATGTTGGCATTTTGTATCACTATTATATCATTGTAAAATATTATAAATCTAAATGAGTGGCTTTTCGAATGAGAAAAAGTGATTTTGTGACTCCCAAATTTGCCTATGTTTGACAATGATATACAAATGATTTTAGAAAATGAGAATTGTTTGACAATGATATACAAATGATTTTAGAAAATGATAAAAGTAATTCTGACTGTACCAAAATCGATCTCAAACATACCCTAAATCATCATAACAGTGAGGTTCTTTCATTATAATAAAAACATGGTCTAGAACTTGATAAATCAACTTGGAACTTGGATGTGCCTTATCAGCAACATGAAAACAATGAGTCTTTGTATTAATATCAATCCAACTACACCCAGCTGCCTTCCTTAGACCTCTTTCCTTCATGGTGTTTCTTAGCTCAGCTACCACATCCCATCTGCTGGCAGAAGCATACAAATTTGACAGTGAAATAAAATTAGAAGCATTTTCTGGTTCCAACTCAACAAGGGATCTGTAAGCCAATTCTAGCATCTCATAGTTCCTGTATTTTACAGAAGCAGAAACAAGAGCTCCCCAGACGCCCGGACCGGGTTCCACCAGCATTGTTTTGATAAAGCTCAATGCTTGTTCAAGTTCCCCTATACTTCCCAGCAAGTCGACCACGACAGCACAGATCTCGGCAGTTGGTTTGATTCCAAATTCCTGGACTACGGTGCTGTATATTTGGAGACCCTCGTTTACCAAACCAGACCGGCCACAAGCAGATAAAACTCCAACTATAGTAATTGGGTCTGGCTTGATCCCAAGTTCGACCATGTCATTATACAGTCTTATCGCTTCCTTGCCTCGTCCGTGTAACCCGAACGCAGAAATTAGCGTAGTCCAAGAGATTGCATCTTTACAAAAGGAATCAGACTCGAAGACTCTCCTTGCATTCTCCAAGCTACCACATTTTGAATACATATCAATCAAAGCATTGCACAAAGATACATCATCATTAAATTCTTTTCTGATAGCAAAACCATGGATTTGTTTTCCATTCATCAATCCAGCATGTGAGCTACAAGCAGGAAGGAGACTAATAAGGGATATTCTATTTGGAACTATTCCATCCTTCATCTGCATCTCCTGGAAAAGAATCAATGCCTTGTCTGGATCTTCATTTTGTACATAACCTCTTACCATTGCTGTCCAAACATAAATATTTTTACTCTTTATTTGGTCAAATACATATCTAGAAGCAATGACCTTATTGTCCCTTGAGTACATATCAATCAAGCAGCAGCCAAGATGAACATTTGAGCCAAAATCAAGATCCAACTCATTCTTCACCATATAACAATGGAGCTCTTTCCCATAACTCAATTTCCCGATGGGGTCACCACATAAAGGCAGAGTACTCGAAATAGTAAATGCATCGGGTTTTATTCCATCGGTCTGCATACTTCTAACAACTTCCCATACTTCCTTAACATAGAAACAATCACTAGAACTTGCATAGCCAGCTAATAGAACATTCCATGAGGCTGAATTTCTTTCAGGCATTTCATCAAACAGCTTTAGGGATGCTTCGCATTCCCCGTACTTAAAATACATTGATACGAGGGAGTTGGCAACAACAATATCTAACATGAACCCAAGTCGTATGCTCTTTCCATGAATCAATTTCCCAACAGCCACATTCCCGATCTCGGTGGATGCTTTTGCTAATGTGGATAGTGTAAAGTGGTCCGGTATTATGTCACATTGCTGCATTTCTTTAAAACGATCAAATGCCCCATGGAACACATAATTCTTAACAAATGCATTAATCAAGGAGTTCCATGTATAAATAGTTATAGTCGAAACCAAGTCGAATATTAGAGTTGACTCCTTGAGGTTACCACAAATAGAGTATGCAGAAATAAGTTTAGTTATCAAGAAAGAATTTTGTTCCAACCCACGAGTAATAACCTGAGCATGAGATTGGCAGGTGAGCTTCTGAGATTGGTGATTGATGGCGTGCTGAAGAAAATGGAGGAGAAGACCTGCGAGCATGGCGGACGGATTTGTGGCAGTCTTTTGACCTGAAGCATGGATTTTCCAAAATCTAATGGCGTGAATTGAACGATTCATTATAAAATTCAACTTGAGAAGAAAAGAGAGCATGGTGAATGAAGGAAAAACGAGAGGAATCCAACGGTTACCTTCAGATTCCATATTCTCGCGGGAATAATTAAACGAAAACCTACAAACCCTAAAAAAATTGGGGGAAATTTTATGATTTCTTCGATTCGAAACAACCAAGTGCGCTCTCAAATACGAAAATCTGTTCAATATTGGAATAAGATAATGCGAATTCATTTGGAACAAATCAGATAAATTGTTTAAAGTTATCGATTCTGAATTTTGTGTGTGAAAATATCACTTTTCTTACCAAAATGCCCCTGAATGAAGCACTTTCTTTTTAGGCTAAATTAAAAAAAAATAAAATAAAATAACCCTCTAAACTTTTGACATTTATTTAAAAATATCCTTATTCTTTCAAATGTTTCAATATTACCTTTTAACTTCTCGTAAGGGAATATTTATTAATATTTTAAACAAAAGATGGTAATTAATAGAGTTTTTCGAGAACAATTAATTGACACTTCAACAAATTTGATCTTTAATAATGTTCAAGATGACACCTTAATGTCAAATTTGTTGTAGTGACATTTTTTCAAGCAAGTTTTTCGTTAATTGACATATTATTCTAGATTCTATCATGTCAACTTTTCATTCAAAATATTAATGTATGTTTGTCCAAAAGATATTTTTTAAGATGTCTATGAAAAGTTACGAGTAATATTGAAACTTTTGAAATGACAGTGGTATATTGAAATAGAAGGCAAATTTTAGGGGTATTTTTTGTAATCTAGTCTTCTTCCTATTTTATTTTTTACTTTATAATCTTTTTTGGTAACGGAGAGTTGGAGCTTTGTTCTCCTATACCAAAGGTACCTGTGCCCACCCCAAAGCTCGTCTCAAAGTTGGAGCTTCTTTTTATTATTATTCTTTCAATCTCCTATTGCTTTTAAATTGTTGGCTAAATATATAATTTAGTTTCTAATTTTTGATGTTTTTTCAATTTAATCCCAATTGTTTTAAAAGTTTCAATTTAGTCTTTGAGTCGCGAAAATTTATGTGACATCACAGTGAACTAGTAATAATTTAAAGAAAGAAATATGGGAACTCACTGAATAAGAAACTCGTAATCCGTCGAAAGCGCTTTACATCCAAATCGAAACTGAAATGAAGATTTATTTCGTCTTCTGAACAGAGAAAATACTTGGAAACTGAAGCGGGATTAGATTCAAAATCAGAGCGTGGAGTTGTTTGCGAAATGTGTAAAGTTCAAGTTTGGGCAAAAACTTGTCTAATATTAATATATCTGTACCATATCTCAATGAAGCTACGGCTAGAGAATCTTTACCTCTCTATTTTGTCCCCAACTTTTAAATAATACCAATTTTATTCTTTAAATTTCTACGAGAGACACGACTGTTCGAGTTAAAGTGCCTGTTGAGATAACAAATCCAAAAAAATTGTAACCATTCGATGAAACAAGGAGTTTAATCCAAAAGAGTCGTAACTATTCGAGTAAAAAGGTGTGTTGAGAGAAGTTAATCCGATGAAAAGTAACTCTGTGATGAAGAGATGTATCTATCCACGTATAGGCGCCATAACAAATAATCTATAAAATGAAAGATTATATCTTTTTCTCCTATGACCTAAAACTTATTTCCAAAATATTAATGAAGATAATTCTTATCTTAAAACTAAACCATGTCAAAAGAATTTTTAGAATCTATAAACATATTTAATCGATTAAAAGGTAGAATACCAAAATTATGTATTCGTATTATCTTCAATTTTTATTTTTTTAGATTATTTTAATATTTTTTAAGATTATTTTAATATTTTTATGTGGATTACTTTTAAGTATATATTCATGATACATTCGTGTTTTAATATTTAGTTAATATTATTTTCAAGTTTGATTTAATATTTAGTTAATGTTCTTTCACGTTTGATTTATATTTTAGTATTAGTTTTCTTATTTATCTCAATATGACTTTTTGATTGCTGTTGTTCTTATTTTATTTTTCTTGGTCATATGATTCTTTATCTCACGTTTTTTAAATGACTTCATGGCAGTACATAGTATTCAATTTCTTTCTCAAATTTCAATTCTTTAATCTTGGTTCATTCTTCCTTATTACATAATATAGAAAAGATAAAAGAATGAGTAAATAATTTAAGAAAACACACAAAAAGATTATTGTTGTATTCTTTTAAAAAAAAATTGACAACGAATAAGAATTGTCCTGTTCAAATGAATTTTGCATTGAAGTTATGGGCACTAGGCAGAAGTTCAGGATAGAGCAATATAAAGTTCTCACTTTAAAAATATTTTTAAAAAATAATTATTGAAACTAATAATTAATAAATTTAAAATGAAAGAAACATATTCTCATTCATATAGTTAGATAAGATTATGTTATTTTTTTTCTTATTTACTATTTTGGTTTAATTTATATTTACGTCATAAACTTCAATTTTTGTATTGTGTCTATTTTATTTTTAATTTTAATATCAAAACATTATTTCTTTAACTACATAATATTACCTTAATATATTTAATTACACCATCCATTTTTTAAATTGTATCCATATTTAGATTAAGAAAGTTGTTAATAATTGTGCCAATAGGTATAGATTGTATTTTTTAATTATTATTATATTTAAATGGTGTAGTATAATTTATATTTATCCTTTTAAAAATAGAAAAAATATATTTGATTTTTCAATTTTAGAAAGTAGCTTAAGAGTAAAAATAAGTAATTTTATTTGTTCCAATCATTTAATATTTAATTATAATTTTGAGAATCTAACCAATTATTTCACTACTGTTCGAATTTTTAGTTACATAATTTGATTTAATTTATTATGTCTCAATTAACAATAGACTTGATTATCAAAAATTGATAACCACATTAATTATTTCAATTTTATAGTATATTCAATGTTTTTTATACCTCTTATTTTATTGGTTTTAGTTTGAAGACTGTACTTTTTTTTTATTGAAAATGTCAACAAATAATAATATATTTTATTTGAAATAAAATATTAGTACCATTTAAAAGTTCCGTTGAGTTGTTATTCTATATGTTAAATTTGTAGAAATATTATATTAAATTATATTTTATTTGAAACAAAATATTAGTATATTTAAGAGTTCTGTTGAGTTGTTATTCTATATGTTAAATTGTTAGAAATATTATATTAAAATGTTTATAACCACGTGCATTGCACGTGATACTAACTAGTTTATATTAAAGGTACCGATCTAGATAAAAATGAAAAAAAAAGCCCAAGTGAGAGGAGCCAAATGGTTCGATCAAATAAAATAGGACCAAATGGAAAATTACTGAGATAATGTCTTCGGATGACTGTTTTAGAAACTTATTTACATAAATATATAAAATTTTCTAATTTTACACTTTTAGATTTCTGCATAATAGGATTTTATTTTAATTTCGATTTTACCCTTATTTATTGCAGTTATTTGTTTTTTTAAATATAAAAGATTTAATTCCATAAATTATTATCATAATCCTTTAATTATTGTGGGTTCCATACTAATTTTCAACACAAATCACTTAATTCACTCCTTCAAAACCTTAATTTACTCATTGATTTTCCGGACAATTTAAAATCAAATAAACATCATTTGAAGCTCAATAAACATATAGCCGCATATTCAAAAAATATATTCAAAATTATAGTATATATCCATTTATATATCCGCATATATACATTCAAAATCATTATAGTATATATCTGCATATCTGCATATATACAAGTTGAGTTATAAGATATATCCACTTATATATCTGCATATATACCTTCAAAATCACTATAGTATATATTTGCATATATATACAAGTTGAGTTATAATATATATCATAATCAAATCACTATACTATATATCCTCACATATACAATATTTCACGTGAAATCAAAAATTGAAAAACGGAGCCGGCCAGAGAGGAAGACAGACAGCGACGGATGGTCGGAGAAGAGGAACGGAGGGTCGGAGGAAGGAAAATCGGCTGTCGGAGGAAGAAAAGAAAAACGAGGAAGAAAAAAGGGGTGGATTTCGAAAATGGATGTTTTTTTGGGGTTTGAGATTTTTTTATTATTTTAAGGGATTTGGCCTCCCAATTTACCAATTTTATATTTTAATAATTATTTAATATTGAGATGGATCTTATAATAAATTAGCAATTTGTGTTATGGGTACTATCTAACTAAGAATTGTTTCATGACAAAAGTTTAAATTCTATACTTTTCCATTCTTTTACGTAATTATGATTTCTAAATAGACCATCTATGAACTAATCCCAAAATTACCTCCGAGGCAAGAAACATGAAATCCAACGAGAGACCAAACTTGTGAGGGATTGTTTTCAGGGTCGTTTTGATAATTATTTTTCATAAACCTTCGTATTTTATATATTTAGATTTCAATATTAAAATATTTTTTATTAATACTAAGATTGTCTTTCTTTATTGCTTTTATATTTAATAAGATTTGTTTTTAATATGACCCAATGTTGTGACTTAGTGTTAGCCTAAATGGAAAACCACACACTCAGTATGGGTTGGCTCGTTTTGGTCCATCGATTGGGTTCAATTTCTTGGTCCAGTTAATTTCCCTCTCACTTTCAAGCTATTGTTCTTCATTTTCCGGGTCGCCAGGGAAGCTATTATTCTTCACCAAAGAAGAAGAGACGGAGACGAAGACAGCGAGCAATTGATCAAAAAACTTGAGGAGGCCACCTAGAGAATTGAATGGCTATTCGATTTCGAGGGATAAAAGAGCGGTTTGGTTTATTCTTCTATATTATCGAACAAGAAAATTTTCGATTCTCTCACGTTTTGGTTTTCAGGAATTGAGATCATTTTTTATGTTTAAATCATCCAACCAAACTGGTTCGCTTGTCTGTGTTTTGGGTTTTTTTTTCAAATGGATTCCTCTACAACCAGTATGACTAGGAGACTCCAAACCAATTCAGACTTAAGAAATCTAAGCATTTTGCAACTAACTATGTTTGTAATTCGAACTCATGACCTCCTGATCAAAGATAAGTACCAATTACCATTTAGCTAAACTCATGTGGGCTCATAATTAATACAGTGAATTTATATTTAAGCAAATCATTGATTGTTCATGTCATGAAATAGTTTAGTTTAGTTCACTGACATAATAATTAAATAAATTTATTACTTTAATTGTAATTCATCATTGGCTAAGCTAAGAATGTTTAATAA